AATGTCGGCCACAAAGCTTTGGAATGCGAACATGGACGGGACTGAAATGTGATTGATTGGGCTTGGGAATCAGAGGCGGTCCTCACGCGGGCGCACTTGCTTGATGGACACCGGCGCGTCGGATCTCAGCCATCAAACACAAATCACATCTCGACTATGTGCAACCATGATGTTCACATTTCGTGGGAACAGCACGGCACAGCTGCGGCATCAGATCTCCAATCGGCCATCTTGGATCAATTGGGAGCCCAGCTCCCTGACTTGTCTCATTCCGAGGTCTAGGGTTTAGGTTTAGGGTTTCGGGTTTCGGGTTGTCAACGTCAGTGAGAGGTCTTGGAAGTTTGGGCCCGTTTGCACGCGACGGGTGCACGGGAATGTGCGGCTGCATCTGAGAAGCACGAAGAACCTTAATGCCTGAGTTTATGAGAAGCCTTTCGATGGGGATGTAATGGGATGTATAGAGGAGTCGCGGTTCTAGCTGCCGCGATTCAAAGTTCCACTGCTCGGAAGCTGGTAGCCTGAAATTCAGACCAGAATCTGAAATCAAGCCCTGTAGGGGTTGTGAACCTCCACCACCTTGTCAATTCATGTCTGGCGCTCCCACGCTCCGCTCTGCAAGGGAGCATTGCTTGGATCGAGGGTCTACATTCGCCCAGTTCATCGCATATCTTAGACTCCGACCCCTTTGTCACGGCTGGCGCCGGCGCCACCTCAACACAGGCTCTGTGGTCTGGGATTTTGTGGGGATCTTGATGATTGGATGATTGGCTTTAACCCTAAACCCTTAAACCCCAGACCCCAACCCTTTTATGCTTACCCTTAGTACTTCTAGTCAGTAGGTGACATTCTTTGCATTTCAGCCGACCCTGCCCCTTCTTCAAACCATAAACGGAAACCCGAAAACCCGGTCCCTCTGAAACCCTAAACTCTAGGGGTTGTAGCTTGGACCCTTAAGGTTGTACTCTTGGGTTTTGGGGGCACAGTTTAAAGATCCTTCAGGTAGTATAAGGGCCATACTAGGAGTCTATTCAGACCTGAGGGGAACCTCGAAAGGGGTACGACCCAGAATGTCCTCAGCGCTCACACCGGACCAAAGCACAAACTGCCAGTCCAAAAGCGGGGGGAGTCCAACAGAGTTTGGGCTCAAATCCTGTCAAAGTATGATTTTGGACCAGCCGTCTACCAAATCAGAAGATCAAGAGTCTGAAGGGAAGAAGGGTTCCGATATCTTCAGCTTGGAGGTCATTGCAGCTTGTCTGGCTGAGATTTCGTCAGCGCACCGCTCGCCGCGGGGGCGGGGGGCGGGCGGGGGCGGGGGCGGGGGCGGGGGCGGGGGCGGGGGCGGGGGCTGGGGCGGGGCGGGGGGGGGGGCGCGGGGGCGGGGGCGGGGCGCGGGGGCGGGGGCGGGGGCGGGGGCGGGGGCGGGGGCGGGGGCGGGTCGGGGGCGGGGGCGGGGAGGGGGCGGGGGGCGGGCGGGGGCGGGGGCGGGGGCGGGGGCCGGGCCGGGGGCGGGGGCGGGGGCGGGGGCGGGGGCGGGGCTTCGTTCATTCGTTGGCGCCACAACTACCTACTTTCAGGGTCTTCTCAAGGAAGCATGCAGGGATTCTAGTGCCGTCCCCGACGCGCCGTTGCGCCTAAGCCCCAGATTCGAAACACTACATCCTATGGCGTAAACACATTTAAACACTAAACCCTAGACCGTGAACCCTTAACCCTAAATCCTAGACCCTAAACTTCAAGTCCCTAAACCCTGAAACCCCAGGAGCGGAGGAGTAGAGCGACGGAGCGGAGTCGATTTAGCATATTTCGCGTGCGCTCGCCGCGCCCACAGAGACGTTTAGGATTTAGGTTTAGGGTACAAGTAGAGCCTAAAGCATAAACCCTACGATGGCCCTTAGAACCCTATGTTCCTCTTACACTCGCTAAGGGAATATCTCAAATATCCCGAAGGCCTTCCTAGTACAGAACAGCTTACTTGCTCGACTACGGGTTTAGGGCTTACCCCTAAACCCTAAACCCTAAACCCTAAACCCTAAACCCTAAACCCTTAGGTTTTCAGGCTCAGGAGGCGGCCCATGATCCCGTGGCCCCAGTGATGTACGAAAGCGGTGGCGAGGCCCCAGTCGCCGCGGTCGTGGGAGTTGCCTCGTGGGCACAGGATCATGTTTTGGGATCCTCTCCCTTCTACTAACAGTCCTTAAATAGGGATGATAGTAGGGGGTACTATCATCCCTTTAGAATTTAAGGACTGTTAGGGTAAGGGGGGAACATGTCAAATCATATTGCTGATGGCTGCAAGTGGCTGCAAGTCAAAGGTTTAGGTTTCACTCAGGGATTCGGGTTTCGGGGATATCCAGCATAGCCGACCGCATGCAGGTCTTTGTGGCAGTGTTTGAGTACGAGCCTGTGTGCATCTCTGAGTTTAAACTTGCTGTGTCAACATGGTGCTTCAACCCTCTATCTTGATGCCATGCAAGCCCAAACCCTTCGACGTCAGCGAGGTGTTAAATTGCCTTTCATTCAGACTAGCTTGCAATCTCTGAGCTGGGATTTGGCAAGCATGCAACATCGTGGATAAGCAATCAAGGTGTGTTCGGGATTGAGCAACCGAAGAAACCTTTGACTTGAAGATGACTGCAGCAAACTCCCGACAAAGAATGCAAATGCGCTGACTTCACAGCACAACGAGCATTTGACTCTAGTAGCGGCCTGCATGCAGGCTTCATCCGAAGGCACCTGACAGCATGGCTGCCCTAAGCCCTCAAATTTGGGTTCACGGTGAGCACCAACCCTGCTTGACTGCCTACTCTGGGGACGATGACCTGTATGAAGGTGGGTATAGTCGGGTACACCTTACGGACTTCTGTATATATATATATATATATATATATATATATTCTACAAATATAAACATAATTATAATTATAAATATAAATATAAGTATAAATATAAATATAAATACACACATATATATATATATATGGGTATAAGCAAATAGAGAAATAAATACATGAACCCTAAGGTCCGACGGTCGACTGCCAAGCCTGCGCCTGAAACCTTGAGAGCCCAACACGGCACAGCTCAAACCTCATACCATAATAACCCCAACCACACACAACCATTACCATGAGGGTTGCTCTATATTGGCACGTGTTGCAGTCGGAGTCCTTGAAGTTCATAACCAGGCACCTTAGAAGGTGACTAAACCCCCCCCCCCCCCAGCCCTGATTCTGTGCAACGGACCCAGCCTCTGGAGTACGGCCCTGCGATGCGCACCTTGAGCTTGAGGTGACTCATGGGATGTTTAGGGTTTAGGGTCTAGGGTTTATAGGGTTTAGGGTCTAGGGTTTAGGGTTTAGGGTCTAGGGTTTAGGGTTTTAGGGTCAGCTCGGCGGCTCGCTGCTCCTTGGACTCCTGCATGTTTCAGCAGCGAGGTAGAAGTGAAAAGGCTCCGGACTTTGCGTTAACCCTTCAGCCGCAGGACTTTCATGAAGGACGCTGGCACCAGAAACACTTTTAAGCAGCGGATGCCGCCTCAACACACAACAAAAACTCCCAAATGTGTGTGTGTGTGTTATGACTCCGATGACTTAAAAGTTATAGGCCAAAAAGCAACCTCCCTAAGCCATCAAGCCACTCCTAGGTCTCAAACCCAAAACCAGATTCCATCATCCTATAACCCTAAACCCTAAACCCTAAACCCTGGGATTGACGACGGAGCATCACAGACAGCGTGCTGGGGTGCAAACTCGCTCAGCCGCCCATCCTTAGTGCGATGTAGGGCTATAGTAGGCCCTATAAACCCTAAACCCTAAACCCTAAACTCTTGTCCTAAAGCCCTCAGCCCTCTAAACATCCCTAAACCCTAAACCCTAAGCCCTGGCCCTAAAGCCTGACTGAACCTTACCCTGGCAACCTGTGCACCTGGAGTTGCTATCAGATCCGTCCCAACCAACGTTAGGGTTCTATAGCTTAAGCTGCCTTTAAATACACATTAACATCGATACCTTTACATAAATGTATAGAGTTCTGTGAATACATATATATACATATATGTATATCTATAAATGTATATGTATGGATGGCCGGTTCCCACCTGATGCATGTAGTAGCGGCTCAGGTCTGAGCAAAAACAAGCAACACAGGAAGTCGAACCCAAAACCCTTTAAACCACTTGAAGGCTGTTTGGCATGCGCCCACCCTCAAAGCGCCAAGCTCCCGGCAGCAAAACGCTGCATCAGCTCTGCAACGCACTTCTTCATGACTTCTGTTTCCTGTCTTCGGGCAGTCTGGGGTTTAAGGCCTTTAGGGCTTCAAGCCCTGAAGCCCCCTAAACCTCAAACCCCTGAAGCCCGCACCTAAACTCCTGGCATGTAAAATAATGGCCCTTTTTTATGGGCGTTGGGCTACTTTCCTCTCATACTATGGGGTTCCAGATAAAGCCCGTAACATCCCTTATCAGCCCCAATCCAGAAAAATCCAGCATCACAGTACCGATCTTTCTCAAGGCAGTGGAGCCTCCAAAGGACCCCCCTCCGAATGTGAGGGTGTGGGGCCTGGGGGTTTTGGGGTTTTGGGTTTCTAGGATTGGGTGTAGGGTCTCTTTTGCTCTCCCTCTCTCGCTCTGTCATCTCGGTTTAGGATTACAGAATGCGGGCGAAGGGTTTGGGACTTTAAGCAGGTTGAATGATTGGGCATGGAAGGCCGCCAGGCTAGGGCAGTGTAGGGATTGCCTCGTAAAGCGGGCCTTTGACTGCAAGGTTTGTCGCTCCATTTTGCTCTTGCTGCAGTCCTGTCGGATGAGCTTCCAGGGAGCAGCAGCACTGTCCGCATCCAAGTTCAGAATCGCAGTGAGGGCATGTGGGGAGTGATCTGCGATGATCTGCGTTGTGGGGCCCTTCTGGCACCCTAAACGACGAAGGAACGCATCACTTGAAGATAGGCGGGCCAACAAAAGCGTCCATTCCCATGCTGCAGGCAGACCTCCAGCAGCTCTTGCCTCAACGTCGCGAGGCTCGTCCGACCAGCACTCCTACTATGAAGGTTGCACCAAAGGCCACTGCTAAAGCAACTCCCTCTTGCCATGTACGGTGGCGTTGATTTGATGCCAGGCCCACTTCGCGCCTGAGCTTCTCACAGCCTGCATCAATGATTGGGGCTGTCAAAATCTCCATCGACAGCTCTCCTTCTTTTTCCAGCCACAGTATCCGCTTGCCACTGTTGATGACATCTTGAAAGGTATCAAAAGGCACACCTTCTAAATTGGTGACCTTGGCCCCAGCGCTTTGCAAATGCTCAAAACAGTCTTGTAGGCTGTCTGTCTTGAAGCAAAGTCGATAAATGGATCCGGACCCATACTTCTGCAGCAAGTCCGCATGCGCCCCTTTCTTGCCTTGAACCACCATGAACATGAGCTGGCCTGTATGCTGGTCAAATACACTGGCGAACTCAGACCAAGTGGGGTCAGCGGCGCTCCCCCATGTCTGAATCTTCGATGGAACGAAGCCGAGACGGGGGCACCAAGTATCCAAGAAGCCATGGATGTCATCCACAACAATGTCCACATGGCTGAATCGCAAGTCGGACTTCCAGTCACCTCTCGATGCGCTCATCCTCGTGGACAGCAGGAATCGGGCGGGTCCAACGTTGAAGCTGTCACGGTCTATAGACTATAGACCACTCGCCATGCGCAAGCAACAAGGTAGGACCTGTTAGGTTGAGAGTTCGGTGCTTATTGTTGAGAGATGTTGCCAGTGAATTGGCAGGAGCCGGCCCGGACTTCCTACTGCTGGATCCACCTCAGACTCGTTCCATCGAGCAGAATTTATCAAAAATCTTCCAGCTACTTCGCCACACAAGATCAAAGGCCCAGCAGAAACAGCCTGATTCGCATTGCGATTTGTGTCGTGATTCATGGCATTCCCGAAAACTTCAGTCCCCATTGGTACACAGCTATTTTGTGCCACTTAGGGTACTGTTATACGGTGCAGGCCCGTCATGCTTCAGTATGGTACCAAAGACGGGATCACCACGTAGAGAAGGTCATGGGCTCAGGGGGCATAAGGTTGTCAAGATCCCTTCTGAAATTGATATGGCCATCTTGGTGAAGTATTTAAACATCACTGACTCCATGAGCCTCTCTTGCACACGTATCCCAAGACCCCCATGCTGAAGGACGGTCCTCCAGGACCTCCGTGAGCCTCTGAACGGAGGAGACTGCATCCTGAATGGGTCATGTTGGAGCTAGCCACACAAGAGTTCTGCTTCACATGATGTGCACATGAGAGTTCCGGATGCCGGCAGGCAGCGCTTTGGCTTTAGTTCCCTTGGAGATGTATGATGTATCTAAGATTCGAGAGCACAGGTAGGCTCCCACAAGGAGGCTTTTGTCAAATGCAATTGCCAAGGTATCGACGCGTGATCCCTTCAAAACGGCTCCAAAGATTCTGAAACACGCGAAGCTCAACAGGAGCCGGTAGGACCGGCATGACGAGCGAGTCAGGACTTTGGTGTGGGGGTAGTGACATTATAATGGAGAAAAAGGTTCGACACTGCTGCCATCTCGCAGAACGATAGTGACACCCTGCAAAGACCACAATATCCTACAGCCTCGATTAAACCCACAATGCTGAACAAAAAACCCACTCTGCTCTCTTCATGTCCTGTGTGGTGTCACCGGCCCCTGGCACCTGGCATCATCACGGTCATGATATGATATCCTAATATTGCTACTATGACTCGTCTTCTCCACTTATGATCATATGATTGTTTTGCATGTTGAATCCTCTTCATCCTCTTCATACTTCGTTTCAGTCATGGCACTAGCGCGGCTGCTTGAATTTGTTTCAACAATGATGAGTCTTGTGATTGTTGTGGCTTGTGCCAAGAGGTCAACACTTTTACCATTGAGCTCTCATCATTGCAGCTGATATTGCAATCATTGCCATTCTTTGGCCACTGCTGTGAGTCTTGATTCTGTTCCGACTATGCTCTGCGATGCGCGACTCGAATACGGAATTGTAGCGGCTCCCGTTTCTATGCGAACTTTGTTCAAAGGAATAGATAGCCTGATAATAAGATAGATCAACATCTTTAGGGCCCCCGGATTTTGTGTTCGCAGCTCTGTCGCTCAGAGGAAGCCTCAGACCCCAAAACTGTCATAGTCTTTGCCACATTGCCTCAGACCTCGCAACACTAAACCCTCTAAGCCCATAATGAAATACTCATATCATGCTATAATATCCGAAAACCACCAAACAAGACAATCCATTAACATCGCTCCAAACCATAAACTGCGCACTGTGAGCAACACGGGCCGAGCCCGCAAAGCTTCGAAGCCTCGGGCGCACTTGCTACATTGCGGATTTTCGGGCACCGGAAAAGTACTTTAGGCTTTTTGGGGTTTGGTGCCAGCCTGGGTTTTAGAATGTAGACTTGGGAGCTATGTAGTGGTTTAGACTAACACGTAGCATCTGGTGCTGCTTCGGAATTGTTTAGGGGCTCAGGGCATATTCGGGGGCTTGGTCACGAACACTACCCCCCCCCCCCCCCAAGGAACAGAATCTCTCGACCCACATGAAGCCCTAAGAACACATGGGCAGCAGTTCTGCTCCTATTGGCTCTGTGTCCAGGCGTAAGCCGCCCTAGGGAAACTGCATTCCTGGTAGGTCCGGGAACCAAAAAACCATGGGGCTTAGGGTTTAGGGCTTTGGGGGGAACCAAAAACCATGGGATTTAGGGTTTAGGGCTTTAGGGGGAAACAAAAACCACGGGGTTTAGGATTTAGGGGGTAGGATTTGGGGATGATTTCCTAAACCCCATATCCTTGAACACAGCAAGCCCTTGAAAGTGCAGGCCAAAGCACTTATCTTCCAAATGGTCAAAGCGCTGGTGGATATCCTCAGTCCAGAGAGATTGGCTTAAGGTGTACATAGGGTTTAGGGTTTAGGTTTAAGATTTGGGATTTAGGGTTAGGGGAGTTCCTCCTAGCAAGAAGAGGGCGTTGTGCCAGGACTTCGTGGAACAAAGAAGAGACTGGGCTCTTCTGGCCACTGCACTGCAACCTTGCTGCTTGGTAGGGGAATGAGGGAATCAGGTACGCAGCCTATCGAATCCCTTAAACGGTGATGTAGTTCTCTCCCTTGTTGGGCCCCTATATAGTACAGCGCTTTAGCCTGAAGACCGTGGGTGAGGCAAGGGGTTCAGGGCTTAGGGCTTGGGGCCTAGGGCTTAGGGGTTGGGGTTTAGGGTCCTGAACCTTGCCCCTTTCTATTCAGTTCTGCTCCTCAACGCATCGTATTCCCTTGCTGCGCGGTCCAGGAGCGGTCCGACAGGGTTTCGGGGCTTACTGCGCGCGAGGGTTAAGAGCTATGAGGGCAAATTTCCTCTCCTTAGAACAGCTATAAGTGACATTTTAAAGATTAAATATCTTGGGCCTGTAGAGAACAAAAACAAAGCATAGCTCAGAATGGACAAGAGGGTTCAAGGGCTATGTATCAAGCGTGGCGCTGCAATGTCCGCCGCATTGCGGTCTGCAAGCTGACGTTTCAAATCGTCGAAGTCCTTGCTGCAGGGTTTAGGGTTTAGGCTGTAGGGTTTAGGATTCAAGAGTCTCATTCTCTCTAACTCGACCTCCCTCTCTGATCAGAGTTTCAGGCTGACGTGACAGCACCCGCCTAAAAACCCAGACACGGAACCAAGCTAGGAATTGAATGCATTCGGGTTCTGGTCGCCTTGGATCGCCTGGGTGTGCAACTGGCTGCGATTGTTCTTCTACGGTTGACTTCTGGGCGTCGTGCTGTCCGAGTTTTGACTTTTGCTTTCTGTTGCTTCTGATTGTGACGGCTGCTTCTCGCAGACTCTTTTCGGGTTCTGCGAATCTGCGAAGGCAAGCTTCTCGCCGTTTCGCAAGTCGTCCAATGTCACTGGTCCACTGGTCCATCAGTCAAGTTCAACAGTTGTCAGGGCGAGTGTGCAAGACGCATTGCGTTAGCCCTGCGCACAAATCAGCAGCCAAACTGCCACTCGGAGCAAGTGTAAACCCTAAACCTGCATCCCGATCTGCAGCCAAACCTCAACCCCCAAGCACTATACCCTCGACTCAGTCTCTAGAGGTCCCCGGTTGCGGAGACCCCTTTTGGAAATTAATCTTGATGGTGTTTCGGGCTTCCCCCCCCCCCCCCAACCCCCCCTCTCCCCGATCCTATCCCTACCTGCCCTACCCCTTCCCCGCTTAACAGTAGAAACCTGAGTATCATCGCCTTTTTGTGGAGTTCTGGAGGGAAGGGCTGGGAAGGGCTTGAGGGGTTGAGCCAACACAACATAGAGCAACATCAAACCCTGAACCCCATGCCCGAAACCCTAATCGCCAAAACCCCAAAACGCGAACCCCAAAAGCCGAAACCTTAAAACCCTCACTGAGAGCAGCTTGGAATCAAGTCCTTTGACGTTGTCTTGCGGACTTCCAGGGCTTAAGGGTTTCAGGCGTGGGTTTGACTACCTTAACGTGTCGGGTTTAGAATTTACGGCTGGGGTTTTCGTGCCTTCAGAACGGCAAACCTTCCAAGCACTTGCAAGTCATTTTTTTGTATGCCATCGAAGATTGCTCTAGGTCACTCTAGGAATGATTTTGGTTTCGGGTTTGGGGGCTTGGTGCTCAGGGAAAAATTGTGTCTTTCTGCCCAGGCTCCTGCTTCAGCTTCTGCGTCTGGCATTTCACCTGGACTGCTCTCATTTCACCAGTCTCAGGGCTCAGTCGGTAACACTCCTGTAGGGTTTAGGGTTTAGGGTTTAGGGTTTAGGGTTTAGGGTTTAGGGTTTAGGGTTTAGGGTTTAGGGTTTAGGGTTTAGGGTTTAGGGTTTAGGGTTTAGGGTTTAGGGTTTGGCGTTCAGGGTTTAGGGTTTAGTGCTTAGGGTTTGGCGTGTAGGGTTTAGGGTCACTGCGAGGAGGGAGGTGAGCAACCAGTGGTTTGATCCCAGCTCGACAATGTCTCCAGATTGCTTTGAGGCTCCACTACGAGTTGCGATGCATGCTCCGCGTGGTCTTTGGATGTCGAGTTGAATTGCTGGCAAGCAGCCTCTGAGTGCACTTGAACATTCCTTGGCTGGGAATGTCTTCCTGAAAAAGGTCTTCCCTGCTGTTAAACCCAAACACGTGCTGGCTGTTGGGCAGAACGGAAATAAACCGACTATCATCCACACCGACACGACATCGGCTGACATTCGACTTTGATTTACATCCCCCGAATTGTAACCGGTGCAACTATTGTTTTTCAGCCACACCGCTTGCGTCATCTACCTGACAACTCCGAACCCTCTGGCCCAAAGGCGGTGTCTACTATCGCTTCCTCCAGCTTCCTCCTCTTCCATCCCCCGCCTTTCCTACTTCTCCCTCTCCCTCTCCTTCCCCCTCTCCGTCCCCTTTCTCACTCTGACTCTCGGTCTCTCTTCTTTCTCCCTCTATCTCTCTCCCTCTTTCTTTTCTCTGTGCGTCTCCCCATCTCTGTCGCGTTATTTCATTTTTGTTTTTCTTTCGTTATTTCGCAGGGTGACGAGGGCAAAGCCCCCGGCGAGGTTCGCACTCCCTGATTGATTGAGGGCCGTCAGCGGCGCTAAGAGGAGGCATGGCGGGGGATCCTCTCGATCTCCACCCCAACCACCCCCACTGTCGACGTCCTTTCCGAACAAATCTCTCGGCTTTGAAACACAACTCGTAGAGGTACTGCTGCACAAACGCGCATCTGAGTGGTGCGATTTTGGACCGCTGGCCCCCTTAACGCACACCAACAAAAAGTGCTTGTCGTCTGTCTCTTTCGCTCTCTGATCATTGTCTTTTTGGTTCTCTCTGCCTCTTTCAATATTTTTGGGAGGAGGAAAGGGAAACATATTCGGGGCGACAGGTACGTAGCCATTAGCTTAGAAAAGAAGCTTAAGCCTTCACAGTGACTTTGAAAGCTCTGTTTGGAATCATCCCAGCGTCTCTTTCCGCCACACGTGGAGGGTATCTTCGATGGCTGCGAGCGTCTGCCAAACGCCACGAGAGTGCGCAAATTCCGTGGATTAGGGGTCAGTTTACATGTGTAGACCCTAAACCCTCGACTCTAACCCTAAACCCTGCAAGGGTGTGGAGGTTGCGGGTTCAGAGGCTCAGTGTCAGAAATTGTTGAGATAATGGGCTCAGATAGCCGCATTCTGCTTGCCGACACTAGATTTCCGGAATGCAGCTTCGAGAGATGAATTGGCTTCGCTAAGCCCGAAGCCCTGAACCCTAATTGAAGATGGTGCTTTGGGTCCAGGGTTTGGGGAGAGCTGGTTCAAGATCTACTTGATCACCCGACCTCGTGTCGCCGAACCTCCAGATTTCTAGAACCCCCTAGACTGGAATCCCATCTACTATGGCCTCCTCGCTGAGAGGGGATGCCGAAAGGCCACTGGCTTGACGTCGCTCAAGTGCATTGATGCCTCAGTGGCTTGGGGGGGTTGACGGTTGAGTCGATACTCCTAAAGCCCTGCAGCAGCCCTGTAAGCCCAATGCGAAACGCCCAAACCCTGAACGCTCCAACGCCCGAACGCCCCAAATCCCAAAACTCCAGGACTCAAAGGGTTGATTGCGTTCCCTGATCTGGGGGTGCTCAGACTGTCAATGTGGGGGTTTGCGTCGATGCCTAGGATTCTTTACGTTCAGGTTTAGGGTTTAGGGTTCCATTTGGCGGCTCCCGCCTTACAATGTGGCCATTCGTTCTTAGGGTGCCCGGAAGTGGGGACCATCATGAGAAGCCGCGCGCCAAGCATTTCGAACAGGAGGGGTGCCCCTAAAACTTAGTACACGCCAAAATGCTTTAAAAATCCTTTTGTCAGGAGCCTCTCGTCCTAAACCCTAAACCCGAATTTGTGGAAGCCCCGCCCTAGACCTCAACAACGAGTCGAGAAGCGCTCCTCCGCGCCATGGATTCGAAGCGTTTGGCGATAGGCCTCTTTTTTGCAAAGCCCATCTCTTGGGGGGAAGGGGGGGGGGGGTATTTCGGACGCATGTATTCTAGAGTTGGGGAAATACCCAGCTGGAGGTTAGGCCTCTTCCTGACCCAGGAATTTGTGGCCTCCTGAATCGCAAAAAAAGTAACGGCCTAAGGGTTTCTGGCTGACGAAGCCTGTTGACCCACAAAATTCTGCACAGAAACCTTGAATATCAAACCTTCTCCCAGCAACCCAGAGACTCCAATACCCCTTAATTAAAGAATATAAGGAACCCGTTCTATATTTTAAGGAATATTCCCTAATTGAGGGGTGTTGGAGTCCCTGGCAACCCATTCGCCTCGTCTGAGCGCGATCTTGCGAACTCCTCGCGCAGAAGCTTCGCCTCAAAGCTGCTGAGTTCGACGCGCCAACACCGACGTTCACATTTTTTAGGGTTTAGGGTTTAGGGTTCAGGAGTTCGCATTTCTAGACTCTCAGCCCTTGGCTGATCCCTCAAGCCCTACTTTCCAAAACAGCCACGGAAGACACAGGTGTTCTAACAGTTTGGGGTTCATCCGCCTCCCCCCTTGCTTTTTTAGGGCTACCCCAAGGAACACCAAGTCCAAGTACCTCACAAAACCCATACAAAAACCTAAACCCTAAACCCTAAACCATCCTAAACCCTAAAAAACTACCTTGTGTTTTAACCGTCTCCTAGGGTTGGTAGAAGGGGTGGTGATAACAACAACTGGGTTTTCGGATCTCGCTGCACGTACTGGCCAAGTAAGGTCCGAAGAAACAGTGAGAAACCCCTACGTGTAATCATACGTAGCGTAATCACATGGTAATATCAAAATATCATAGTATATTAATATCCTGATACACTAGAGTGATAGTAAAATAGTACAATATAACCCCATCACAACATAATACTATCATGCTATGATATTAGAATGGTATTAAACTTTAACACTATAACACTATAATAATACAAGACCAAAAAAACTCACATAACATAATCATAAACTATATGGTCGTGATAAAATGTCATAATGTATCATTCTTGTACAAATGCAAGACTGTAATAGTGTAATCATTATTGCAATATGAAAAATAACGTGACAATAGTGTACTACTAGAATAATAAATAGGTCAGAAAAAAACATCATAATCGATGTACTCCTCCTTGTTTCCATAGCTCGGCCCCTGGTTCTGCGCAAAGTGTTGTAGTCTACGCTCACTTTTTTGCTTTTTTGGGCACATGTTCTGGTGTGGCAGCCCCTTGTAAAAGGGTACCCAAAGAAGGGGCCAACTTTCACAGAACTGACCATACAGCTGCCATACAGCCCTGAAGCTACCAACCCCTCCGCTCCTCGAATCCTGAAACCCGCCTTCGCTAGGAGTAGGAACCCTCAAAAACCAAGTCATGGTCCTTAAGTGCTACGTGCAACTCTCTCAGGATGACTCTTCCTTCCTAAACCCGAAACCCTAAACCGTAAACCCTGCACCCTAAACCCTACACCCTAAACCCTAAACCCTATTTTGAAGGGCTCGTGAAAGCTACTCGGAGAGCGCCTCAGCCTGCGTCTGCGAGACGATCTCCATGCGAACTTCGGCGATCGCCTTCATGTCTTAAGGTTCATGGGAAGTTATTAATGATCATGAATTATTAATCAGTTCTTAATAGCAAATTAATAATTCCTAATAAAAAATTAATTACATATTTATACATGTGGTTATAAGTATGGTACTAATACTTATAACCCCAAATGTAGGGTACCTCTCACCCTACTTGTAACTGCCCAGGAACCTCCGAGCTTCATCATGGGGCGTGGGCGCGGAAACGACCACATAGAGATGTCAGACTTACAGGTGCTCCAAGATTTGCGGAAGTGAGGTTGCCGAATTGAGGGGTCCTGCTGTGCTTCTCCAAGACCTTTGTGCATTTTTCCGGGCATGGCAGCTAGAGGGGTAGTGAAGTGCCCGGATCCCTACTACCCTACCTAAGACCTACAACCTAAACCCCAAGCCTAACACTCCTGAACTCCTAAACGCAGCACAAAATCATCAGTTCCGCACTTTGCTGCGACTGCCACAGACTCCAGTCATCCCCCTACCAAAACATTAAAATTTCAATAAAAACCATCAAGAAAGCGTCATAGCAGCATTCAAAATCCTACAAAGTCTCCATTTCATTTGTAGGGGCTTGTGAATTTTATCTACTATCAGCAGCGGGGTTAGGACTTGCATGACCTGATTTTGTTGTTGCGAGTTTGGATTTTTGGGGATCATCGACGACAACTCGGCCGGCCTGCTCTGCCACGCTCCTTGTAATTTCGCTGCCCAGCGTCCGTGCCAAGACTTGCCCGGCGTTGTGCGCATTGTCGCGCTCGTTCTGCAACGCCTCCAAGACTTCCTGCTGCACCCCAGCATGCGGTGCTTGACCCTGAAATTCTCAAATCACCCTTCAACCATGTGTAGCATCTTAATACCCGGATAACCCCCAAACCCTAACTGATGCTGCGTCAATAATTAACGTGTGGCCTCCTCCCCGAACAGGCCATTATGAAGAAAAACATCGGGCCGCACACACAGACGTCTAGGGTCTAGGGTCTAGGGTCTAGGGTCTAGGGTCTAGGGTCTAGGGTCTAGGGTTTAGGGTTTAGGGTTTAGGGATCCTAAACCCCTGAGCCCTAAAATGTCAGTGCCTGTGGTTTTGCATCTTCGCTTTCTGCCTTATACGCTTGAAGCTGATATCCTCCAACAAGGGATCCCTAGTGGAAACACTCATATAGGGCTCGTGGGTATCAGGTAAAGGGATGCAGAAAGTTTGGAGTTCTAAGCCGATGGCTTAGAAAATCTGGAGAATGCAGATCTAGATCTGGGTGGCGGAGTTGGAATCTAGAGCTCATAGGTGCACAGGGTTTCGGAGTCTAGCTGTGAAGATTTCAAAGCCTTGGGTGCCAGGTGACACCCAAGATCCGTGGAGTTTGTTGGGGAGTCCTGGCGCAAGTTGTCGAGGTCGGAGCTGAACAAGTTCTCCAGCTGCGTTGGCATATCCTCAGAGGGCGTCTGGGTACTTGAACCCCACAAAAACTATGAACCCAAAAACGAAACGGGTATGTAGGTTGTAGCGTAGGGTCTGGGCCGCAAAGCGTAGAGAGGCTTACAGACTTGCAAGTGCTTCTAACGTTAGTTCACTAAATCCGCCAGGACCTCGGGCCGTACGAGTTTTGGGAGCATTCTCAGCCTGTTTGTACCGCACGTGTGAAGCTGGTTGCAATCTCACCGGTAGCCTATGCTTGCCCACGGCGCCCTCTCCCTATTTCATCTGCTGGGTCGGAACCGACTCCTGATCAATCCCCTTATAATATGTATGTATATATATATGTATATGTATGCGACTCAGCTATGCCTCACTCAGCTGCTTGCCAGCTCACAGATGCCGTGCCTACTGTGTCCTCCCCGGCCGAGGCAGGTCGCGTAGCGCTCAAGCTAGGGTGACTGTTTGGGTGGCCCCAAACCCTTTTAAACCCTAAACCCTAATCTCCGGAGGTTATGGGTTGGCTCTGGAAGGGACACTTACTGTTGCTTGGCAGGCAATGAAGGAATCGTACTCATAGCATGTTTCATGACAACCCATTCCTTGATTCCTTACTAAGCGCACTGCATCCCCAATCCCTAAACTCTGAACCAGAAACGTCAATCAGAGAATCCTGCAAGTGTTTCATTCTGTTGCCGTTTCAGGCCTCCAAAACCCTGAACCTCAAACTTTCAGATGGAGGAGCCGGGCCATCAGGCACCCGCGCACACACGCACAAACTCCTATGACTCAATTCAGACGACCTACATGCCGAACTAGGGAGTTGGCTTAGAAGTACGAGTAGGCTACGGTATGTTCATCTGCCCTAACTGAAGCCCACAATAGAGGGGGGCCTAAGGGGATGATATTGGAAACTACGAGTACGGATTTAGGGATTTAGGGTCTAGGTTTGGGGTTGATTTAGGGTTTATTTAAAAGGGCTTTGATAACGGGCAGGCCATCACGAGACTGAAGGCCAAGCGTCACTGAGGCGATCCACGCATGACTGGACGGAGGCGAAGCCTTTCTCACGACAACTCGCCACAAAATTGTCCACCTCTCACCTCTCCTGTTTCCTTGGGTTTTTGCGTCTTGGGAAGACTTTGGGACTGTATTTTGGAGCTCAGCAGAAGAACCCAGGGTCCTTGTGAAGGACTGCATTCCTGACCCGGCCACCCCATAACTCGGAACCCTGAACCCCAGACCTCAAAGTCCCAAACCCTAAGCCCTGAACTGTAAGAACCTGAACACTAAGCCTGAACCTCAAGCCTTGACACTCGTGCATGTCGTGGTGGAAAACACCTTCGGCCCGTTCGGCGTCTTTCCTGGCCTTTCTCCGTGGCGTCCAGGCGCGTCCGCGTGTGGACCTCTAGCCACTCGAGGCCTCGGGAGCACATGGGCTTCGGCAACTTAGGGCGGGGCGTTTGTGTTTCCCTGAGTTTGGTTCCCGCAAGACCCACACGCCATGGAACCCTGGAATTTCCGGGGGGAGGGGAGGGCAGAACAGGTATTGGGTTTAGGCTTAGGGTTGGACGGACAAACATGTCAATGTGCAGAGAGCACTCTGTAAAGAAGGCTTCCACAAGTCTACAACTACCTTAAAGCCTGCTCCTCTCTTCCGAAGCCCACGCCCGGTCTGCTACTCGAGGTATAAAACAAGGGTACCCAGATTTTTTGTACACTGGGGTTCATGAGGGAAGCTAAACCCTTCAAAAGAGAACAGGGGCGCCCTCTGGGGGTTCAGAGTTTAGACTGCTCTTATTGCGGGGTACCTGTGATCATGCAAGCCCCTGAATTTAGGGTGCCTAAAGGGACCAGACTTTGAAGAAGCTCGTCACATTAAACCCTAAACCCTGTACCCTGAACCCTGAACCCTAAACCCTAAACCCAGATCACAAAGAAAAGCAGAGAGGCGCATCGCCAGGACATCCAACGTGAGCTCCTCCGCGGCGCTTTCCTGGCATGGCTGCCCTGAGGCATCCGCGGTTTAGGGTTTAGGGTTTAGGGTTTAAGGTTTGGGGGTAGCAAGACAGGGGCCAGGTGAACCCCCCCCCCCCCCCCCTCATAAGTCCAAGCCTGGAAGTGCCATGTACCAACAAGTGCCGGACATCAACCCCTCATGATCAATGATACCCTCAACTCTAAATCCCTCAATCCTAAACCCTAAATCCTAAACCCTAAATCCTATGCCCTGAATCCTAAACCCTAAATCCTAAACCCTAAATCCTAAACCCTGAATCCTAAAACCTAAATCCTAAGCCCTGAATCCTAAACCCTAAATCCTAAACCCTAAATCCTAAACACTACATCCTAAACCCTCAGTGCCCTGGTGCCCACCCCCTCCTTCGTGGCCAGTGCTGGCACGGTCGCGCTTGCGGCCATGCGCTGCCGTGCGGCCCAGAATGCCTCTCTGAGGGTTTTGTTCGGGTTTCAGGGGTTTAGGGTTTCAGGGGTTTAGGGTTTCAGGGTTGCAGGGGTTTAGGGTTTAGGGTTTTGGGTTTTGGGTTTAGGGTTTAAGGCTTAAGGTTTAGGGGGCTGATAGCAAAATGCTGGGATCAAGCTGATAGCATAGGAAAGAGGTTCAGATCAACACCCCCGTTGGCTGAAGGGTTGGATAGGTCTGTAGGTTGAGGGGGCTTGGCCTTAATGCGCTTCCGTCTTCCGTTGTTTGGCATACTTCAGGGCGCACTTGGAGGTTCATGCGTAGTTATAAGGGGGGCTTAAGTGCCCTCAATGGGGTTATAAGTATAAGAAATTTTACCCCTACTTATAGCTACCGTAAACTTCCAAGCAGGGTGTGAGATCTTGCGCAAGGCGTTCTGGTCCCGGTCTAGGTGCTTTTGGTTCCGGGTGAGGCATTGGATTGCCTTCGAGATTTCTCCGGTGGCCTACACACTTTTATCCAAGCAACCAAAGTCTGAAAACCCAAAGGCCCAAAGGGTTCGCCCCCTTACCCCTAAACAGTTAATCCAAGATGTCTCCGAACATTCCTATTCGGGGGTTCGGGGGCTGGAGTTTCGCTAAACCAGAAATTTTAGGAACCCAACACCGCATTTAAACAGCCTACCCTAAACCCTAAACACGAAACCGTGAACCCAAAAACTTCAGCACGGGTGTCAAGAGCCCGGGTTGAGGAAGTGCTGCGCACCAAAACCCCAGGACTTAGGGTAGGGCTTGGGGCTTTAGAGGATCCAATTCTAACCCTAAATAATCCGTAAATCCTAAACTCTAAACCCTAACCTTAACCCTTCTTAAACCTAAACCCCGGGCTTAGGGTGAACCACTCCGAGAACACAGAGCTCGCCCCAAGACCGGTCCTGCTGCTGATGCCCCGTGTCCTCCAGATACCTCAGCTAGGCCCCGCCTAAAAGCCTGACCGCCCTACAGAGTCCCCAAAACGGCCTTTAAGCTCCTAAACCCTAAAAGCCCTACGAAGCCCTTGAAAGAATCCTTCGACAGCTTACTCTACTAGCCGAAAAAGTGCTCTAGCAACTTGTTCGGCCTCCCAGTGTCCAGTGCTTCTTCTGGTTTCGAGGTTCGGTGGTCTCTTTAGGGCTCAAAGGGCTTGCGGGCTTAGTTCGGGTCGATGGCTTCATGAACTCATGGGGCCTAATGGGGGCATGGATCCCAACACGGATTTAGGAGGTGAAGCCCAAAACCCAAAACCCAAAACCCCAAACGTGAAGCCATGGATGAGTGAGTCTGAGCTTGATAAAGGACGTGCAAGTCAGGAAGATCCCCTGGTGGCGAAGAGAGAAGTCGGTGGGTACCAGGGAGGTTTGCAAGTCCGATGTTCGGGGTCCCTTTTTGTAGCTTGCGGCGACAGGCCATATAACCTTCGGTTCATGACGGTATGCTGGTACGGTTGCTGTATCAGTGCCAACAACGAAGCCCAACATGCGATCAAACCAATCAGCTGGCATCTTCGCGCTTAATTGTCCCGTCGTCGGGAAAATGCAAACCCTCAGGGCACTGCACGAAAGTTCAGGGTTCAGCAACCCGCAAAACCCTCAACGAAACCTTTAGACAAGTGGCCTTTGGTCTTTTTGTGTGGCATAGTCACTATCGAAACCACACCTAGCAACTACCCTCTTTTGCTTAGTAAAATACAGCTCCTCCAAACCAGCGGCAGAAAGGCTGCTGCAACCTCCTATCCCTGACCCAGAACCCCTTGCCCACCCACACAAAAAAGGCATTGAGGCCGCCCGCCCACCAAAAAAGGAATTACAGCCACCCACCCACAAAAGGAATTAAAGACCCACGGCCTCTAGTCCCCCATATGAAGTAGGGAACATATTTCTTGAACCTTATATACACACTCACCAATACTATAAACCTTGCTTCTAATATGGTGGCCAGGCGGCGTGCGAGCATCGGCCATGGTACGGGCAAGCTCGCGGCGGACGGAAGCCTCTCGGGGCCACAGTTTGAATCGTAGCCCCGAAACCCTGAGCATCTGAAAGCCCTGAACTCTTAAGCCCTAAACCCTAAACCCTAAGCCCTAAACCCTAAACCCCCCAAAAAAAACAGCTTAGGGGGACTCCAAAGGTTTTTCAATGCTAAACCCCTCCCTCCGAAGCTAAACCCCTCAAGCCTCAGTTTAAACGCTGGACTTCAGGGTTCAACGGGTGCCAGGAAATTGCCGGCCTTTTTTCAGTGGTCGAAGAAAAACTGAGGAAGAGATGACCCTTTACCCCCTCTGTACCCCTCCCGAGTCTGCACCTCCTGCCTGTGAACCCCCAACCCTAAACCCTAAACCCTTTGTGAGAAAAAGCCTGCAAGTCCCCATGCTGATGGACTGCTCTAGCAGGACGCGACGAGGCGGGCCGCGTTGGCGTTTGTAGGGCCACGCCCTAAACCGCTCCCAAGCCGCAGTGCACCCGCCTACTATCATCTCTGCTGAAGACTGACTTACACCCCAAACCCTTAAAGCCTCCCAAACACGCTAAAACCCTAAATCCCCCCATGTAGTGGCCTCAGCACGGCGGGCGTCTGCGACGACTCGCTTCAACTGCGCCTGATGAGCTCCGGGTTGGGAAAGGGCTTCTATAGGGTTTCTGATTTGGGGTTCTGGGGTAGTGCTACAGGACTGAGGGTTGAGGGGTTCATCCACGAGCTTTGTGTGGCTGGTGGTTTTCTTTTTTCGGCATTCGGCAGTTGGCTTGGGCTTTAAGCGGGTAGCAACCGCAAGCCGGGGGTTGCTAAGGGGATGCTGGTATGTATGCAGGCATCGATGGGGACCGTATGTCAAGGCTGGCCTTAGGAACATGTCTACTGTAACTGTGATTGGGGGGTTCATGGGTAGTTAGAAGTAGGGTTCTAGGCATCTCATCATAAGAATACCTGCCCTATTCATAACCCTATGTATAGCTACCCCATGAACCTCCAAGTACACCATCTGCAGCAACTTTTTGGGAGCCTGGCCTCCACATTTCTGGCCGCGGCCTCCGCTTGAGGCATGTCATGGGGGGGGGGGGGGGGGTTCCCTAACCCTAAACCCTAAACCCTAAACCCTAAACCCTAAACCCTAAACCCTAAACCCTAAACCCTAAACCCTAAACCCTAAACCCTAAACCCTAAACCCTAAACCCTAAACCCTAAACCCTAAGCGTCGGGGCTATGAACTAAGTCCTGGCTCCTGCTCTGCTGTCGGGCTGACGTTTACCGGCTTCATGTTCCAAAAACCCACAACTTGCGACAACGGACATGAGACTCAGGACATGCATACATCCAGACATTTCAAAACAGAAACTCCAAATCCCCCACAGGCGTAAACCTCCTCAGACAGCTCAGCCCCCAAAGGCCATAAGCCCTTGAAAGCCCTAACCCCTGAACCCCCAGACCTTGGGAGCAGAGCAACCCTAGACCGGTTTAGGGTTTAGGGTTTAGGGTTTAGGGTTTAGGGTTTAGGGTTTAGGATTTAGGGTTTAGGGCCATAAACCCAGCCTGCACATCAAGATCCGCAGTCAGCTCTGGCTCTCGTCGATCCTGCCGTCGCTGGACAAGCTTTGGGTTCAGGGTTTGGGGTTTAGGGGGCTGAGGGACCCCTCAAACCCTCTAGAGCCCTGAAACCTTAGCCCCCAAAATTCTGAACTCCAAACCCTGAAAAAGCCTCCACAAATATGAACTCAAAGCCCTCAAAACACACCTCACAAACCCTGAAACGAGATTAACAGCAAAAGGTAGTCGGGCTGGGTTAGGGGGTTTAACGTTGGAGAATGACTTCCCAAGAAAGATCCCCCTTCCAAAGGGACATGGTGATGAAGCCTGCCACCTAAACCAACCCTAAACCCTAAACCCTAAACCCTAAACCCTAAACCCTAAACCCTAAACCCTAAACCCTAAACCCTAAACCCTAAACCCTAAACCCTAAACCCTAAACCCTAAACCCTAAACCTCACCCAACCCGAGAGCAGCACATCGGAGGGACGTGACGTGACTTGATGGTGGCTCACTACCGTAAACCCTGGAACCCTATAAGCGCGAATCGTTGCGCTTCGGGTTAAATTGCAAACCTGAAAAAAAAAAACCTCTAAAGTATGCCCTAACAACCCGCTCAGACTCCATGCCTCCATCTCCTCCTCCAGGCAGGTTGCCAGGACGGAGAAGTCTGGGGGCCCTGGCTGTTGCGGGTTTGGTTGCGGTTTTAGGGTTTAGGGTTTAGGGTTTAGGGTTTAGGGTTTAGGGTTTGGGGTTTGGGGTTTGGGGTTTGGGGTTTAGGGTGTAGCATTGGTCAGCTCAACGCAGTGGTGTGAAGACATGCCGACCCCAAGGCCACCCAGTCACAACTCGCAGCGAACCAAATCGGAGCAGAACCAGGACTGGGAACATACGACTTACCATGGATCAATTTTTAAAGCCTAATGTGCCCAAAACGCTTCAGGGCCAGGTTTGCTGGTAGCTAACTTAACCATGCATCCGGGGGTTCCGAAAGCAAGGGTGCCGTTTTTTGCCGTTCCTATAAGAAGGAGTAGCGTAGTTTGAGGGTACAGAAGCGTTACCCAGCCTCCACGTGGGAAATGCCCAAAAACTCTCAACACGGACATGCGTGGCAACCCTGAAGGGCTTGCCAACAAACTGGACGGTGAGCAAAGCCTGCCTATCCATATCGCTCCCTTCCAAAGGACAAACAAACAAAAACCCTAAACCCTTAAACCCAGAACGTAAAACACTGAAGGCCGAAATGCCAATATCAAAAAGCCTAAACAGCTGCCAAGATCCCGCCTTCCAAATCCGGATCCAAGCGTGTGGCCTGCGATCGTAAGGCGAAATTCTGTTTGCGTTCGAGTTGCAAAATGCCCGTCGCCTAATCCTAAATCCTAAACCTCATTAACAGCCGAACAGTTCGGTTTGACCCTGCTCTGGGTGTCCTCAGACTGCCGAAGCACATGCCAAGTCTAAGCCCTCAATACTCTGCACCCCAGAACAGCTTTCTAAAACCCGACCCTTGCCTTGTTCAGCCTCTGCACGGCGTCTCCTGGAAAATGTCTCTCCAGCTTGCAGATGTGTCGTTATTAGGGTTTAGGGTTTAGGGTTTGGGGCGTAGGTTTAGGAGTTGGGGGTTTGCAGGCTCCCTCCCACCCCCTCCCCATCCCCTATAACCCCTCTAAAGGGAAGGACATAAGCTAAGGGCCCTTCAAGCAGGAACTTAGTAAAACAAAAAAAAAAAAAAAGGGTAGCCGACCCAAGCCTGGGGCTGCAACAAACGTCTACTTTTTTCTCAGCATAGGCCCCCTGGTTCTTCGTAGGGAACGTCCGTGTAGACCCTTTAAGGGACTATGTACGGCCCTATTTCCCTCATTTTACGGCCTGTGTTTGGGCTTCGGGTTTGTAGAGTTTGGCCCGGCATGAAGCGCCCAAGACTACATCTCAAACATTGCGTTAAAACCCAAAGGGCAACAACCAAGCCTACATAGCTTCCGTAAACCGTACACCCCTAAACCCTAAACCCTAAACCCTAGAGGCAACCTGGAGATTCTGTGGCCTTGGAACCCATGGAGGCCTACAAAGGCGGCCTCTCCTCAAAACTCGGGAGTCCCTGGGGTCCAGAAGAACGGGGCTGCCCCAAAAGAAAAATAATCATCTCTATTCTGCCCTTAGTAAGAAAGAATATGGGATGGAAGTAGGGCAATTAATGCTTCGAACCCCCATGATAACCCTACTTATAAGCTTCGAACCCCCATTATAACCCTACATTTAAGCTTCGAGCACCCATGAAAACCCTACTTGGCACTGCCCATGAACCTCCAAGGCAAAGAATACGCTGCTCAATGTGCCCGACAGACCCAAGCAGGAACTTGAGGATCAGAAAAACCCTGAACCCTAAACCCTAAACCCTAAACCCGCAGCCCGAAGCTCACTCCTCAGAACGCACGCCTTGGGCGGAGGCGCGTGCCGAACAAAGTGAGAACCCCAAACCCCGCCAAAAAAAAAAGCCAACCCTAAACCCCAAACCCTGAACCCTGAACCCTGAACCCTAAACCCTAAACCCTAAACTTTGAACCTTGAACCCTAAACCCTCAGACATCCCTTTGCTGCCGTCCAAGCCGCGGAGCTCCGCCACCTCCGCGATGCGCAGAAGCCGCTCCTATAGGGGGCTTCAAGCGTGCCATGTGCCTTGAGACGTTCCCCCTTAGGCATTTTCTGTAAGGGTTTAGGGTATAGGGTATAGGGTTGTTTTTGGGATGTTCCCTCTTATACTAACAGTCCTTAGAATAGGGATAATAGTACAACCTATTGTAATCCCTATTGAGGACTGTTAGTATAAGGGGGACATCTCAACATATGCCTCCTGCAGAAGGATACGAAACATACGAAACATACAAGTCAAAAGCTACTCCCCTGGTT